TCTGTTAATGCTATTGAATGTCACTGATATGTAAATTACGTAATTGAATGTTTCTTGGCGTTATTGAAACTTAATATAATGTTAATGAATGTCTTTTCGCCCTGTTGTTTTTACAGCTGACGTAGATGAATGTATATTTTGCGCAAATGAACAGCAGAAGGTGTATTTGTATTCTCAAGAAATTCTTACCAAATATTGTAGGTTTCATGGCTCGAGTTATAATGGTGTGTAATCGACCATATTCTAACTCCATATTTTGCACGTGACCTATCTTTCAAAATGATAACTGTCAAATATTAGAGACTAAAGTATCAAAAAGTACTGAAGATAAGAAGGGGACGAAGAGGTGTCATGTGACGGGAACAAGTAAGAACAATGCCAATTAAAAGTCCGAAAGGAGGAAAAATAAGAGGGTCCAGAAAAGAGAATGATTAAAAAGAAGAAAATATCAAGAAAWATAGGGAGAAATTAGTGAAGAAGAACAAAGATATAAAACCAAAATAGAACGAAGGGAAAAGAAGACSATTGGAAAAAGGTGTCGGAGAAGGAGATATAATTGCTTAATTTCTTTATTCGATAGCATCAGTCAGATTTCAAATGCATTGACCGTTGTTTTGACAACGGTCTAATAACATTCCAATTCAATATGACCACCAAACTATCGAGACAAAGAAATCCAACAGGTACGAAAAGGATTTCGATTTACTACAATAACAATATAGATAGCSTAACATTAATTGAATCTTTGCAAAATAATCATGGAAAATTATTCCAGTTCGAGTTTGTTTAGTATAATAAATATACAGCCTACAAAATAGTTTGCAGTTTGTAAGCAACTTCAAATCTGACGCATTTGCGATTCCCTACGAACAACAAAATTCATCAGAAATTGTAAAACTTACTTCAAATGAAGGATGTGTTCCTCAATGCATTGAATGGAAGAACCATCACTTTATATAAAGCTCAAAAAGGAAGCACTAGACGAGAAAACTCTTTATCATATTGTTCAGTTTGAATTTCCTTTACGGAATCGGGACTGGTTCGCGTCTTCCTGGTCTAATTCGACCACGTGCTCGCGGAAATATTACTTAGTTTTTGCTTATCTCTATTAGAATAATCCTTTTATTTAATTTTTGAATTTATTACCGATATTCTATAGAGTATAGATTTTTCCTAATATATTTTAAATTACAACGATTTTTTCATCCAAATGAGCGATTAACAGAAGGCAATTAAATTAGCGCCTTCTACATGCAGTTGGCTCGATAAATATTTTGTATTTTTCTAATCTTATCATCAGTTTTTTTTAGTGCATCAGRCAAACAACGAATAGCAACAATACTCATATCCTACCTTAACCCCGTCAAGTTTGATAAGTTTAAAWTTGGCCATCTCATTGTCATGACAGCTGGAGTTGGTGTCTGGGCGACAGACGTTAACGATTTCTTCTTCATTAAAACATGGTCTTATGAATTCACCATTAATGTTAAGGAGTTTAAAGATAATTCCTGTGATTAGAAATGCTGTACTTCTCTTTCCTTGAGAGAACAGTGACACCATATTGTACTATTATTCACAGAGTTTGTTTCGATGGCCGGTTTTCCTTTGTACGAAAAGAAGAGAGGAGACTGGTCTATATGATCAATTCTTGGCGAGATGTGATGATTTCGTAAAAAGTCATTACATATACGCTAGGTGACTGAGGTCTTTGAAGGCGATAGACCAGAAACATAGTGTTCTAAGGGGTGCAATCAGTTGATGTCGGTCTTTTCGTTCGGGAACTGATAGACATCGCCTTTAAAGAGCATATGACATGAAAACAGTTTTTTGTCCATTGAAAGAACGCTATTCAAAAACCTCAAATMTCGGGTTTTAACCAAATCTGATAAAGCCGCAAAGTTATGAGCGTTGAAAGWTGTGATTTTTCACCCAAAAWTTGTCCTCTTTTTCCGCTCGGCCAAACGCGTCATATGACGTCATTTTGTTGGTTCGCGATCTGTTAGTTGCAAAGATGGCGGTCGAAGTGAGCAGTTCCACTCTCAAAAATCGAAAATACAAAGGCAGATATAACGTGGCAGGATATAGAAATAAAATTAGCTGCAAAAATAACAGTTATACTCTAGATATATGATGTTTCCATTACCAAGCGACCCAGGATTACGTGAAAAATGGACAAAGTTTGTCGCGGACTTCAAGCTTCGAAAAAGAAAAACATATCGTTGTGCTCGGCACATTTTAAAGAAGAATGTTTTACATTCGATCGCCGCTATTGAATCTAGTTATATTGAATTATTATAACCTATTAACTATGTTATAACTACAACTAACAATAACCTTTTTTAGCGTTTCAAAATCCGATCGTGTTCAAGCTACTGAAAAACTTTATAGTGTACTGAAACAAGGGTTGGCGTCGCAGGGTTCTGCATGTAAAGCATGTAAAGCAGACATGGAAAGCAGACATTTTAGCGGTTAGTAATATCTGAGTCAATACGCATCATTTTCAAGTACAGTCCAAGTGTTGGTTTACAGAATTGAGGTTCTATACACCCATCGAAAACTATATTTTCCCTTGAACAGTTTAAGCTTCTAAACAACAACAGAACCAGGCGGATATTCTGAGCCATATTCTGTTCGTGTTCTGTTCGCTGCTAGACTCTCATAAGGTTACTGTTTCTTTGTTTACATACTTTTCGCTTCAATAAAGCCAAACAGCCTGTAATACAAGAGTTTTATACACTTCTCTTCGAGTCAGAGTTTGTTTATATAAGTCATAAGGATCTTCGATGCTGSTCTGATATACCGCGATTCTATGTCGATCACTTCAGCTGATTTTAGCTATCTTTTTTATCCTGAATCGCCATAATTTCGTCTGATTCTGACTATTCTATATCCACATCGGTATTGCATAATAACGAGCTAGTTTCTGACTCACAGTCCGATATATTCGAAAGAAGTTTTACTGGCGCGAAGAGAAGATTGCGGAGTGCAGTAAAACTTAGCCAACAAAATGACGTCACAACGTTAGGATCCAGTCCCCCAAAATGGGACAAAAATCAGGGGGAAATTTCTAATTTTAAATAGCTGTAACTTGGCAGGTTTTTATCAGAATTGAAAAATATTTTAGATTTAGGGTTTTCAAATACCGTTCTTTCACTGGACAAAAAACTGTTTTCATGTCATATGCTCTTTAAAATCATGTTTACCGACCAATACATAAATTGTTTGATTTAAAACTCGAAATACGACTTTAGTAAATTCTTCATTACCGTGTCCAGGCCGAAGGCCTGCGGCACAGTTGTAAAATGAAGCGACTATTATTATTATTATTTTGTTTTTATTTTTATTTATTTATTTATTTATTTATTTTTTTTCACGTCGCAGTTTAGCAATCCCAAGGGACCCATAATCCACTGGAACCAGAGTTTCGCAGCTATAAATAAAAGTCATTGTGATTGGTTGGCTAGAACAATAGGCTCTATTGTTTATGCCTCGTTCTTTAGAGTCACGCTGTGTTGAGCCAACCAATTACCAGCAATGGTCTTTGGCGCTGCGACCTGGCGGGGATAGGGGTCTCCGAATCCGCCGATCCGCTCATTTTTTTTCTAAARTCMGCCGATCCGCGCAAAGTTTTGCTTTAATCCGAATCCCAAATCATGATAGCAATCGATAAGAAGAAAATCATAAATKTTTGCTAATTCAAGACCCGCTGATGCCATATTTGCCATAATAAGCTCAGAGAAGACCTTTCCACACAGCGAAGRGCCTGTCCCGCGCAGCGCAGTCCCGTTTCGCCCGTTTATAAGGCCTTCTTAGWGACYTCTTATGTTATTTTTTTGTAGTCAACAATCGGCAAAATTCGCAGTCACGATTATCGCCATTATAGAATCCGAAATCCGACGTTAAATTTTCAATAAATCCGTGATCCGGTACGTTTTAAGAATCCGCAATCCGCTCTATTTTTTCTTTAAATCCGTAATCCGCGTGTCATTTTAGGCCCAGACCGCCGATCCGAAAACCTGGAGCACGTCTGAAAAATTCTTTTTTTTCTCTTTTTTAACTGAAATATAGGTGTTCTATCTAGCAAGAGAAAATGAGGTAAGAGAAGGAATCCCTGGTACTGCGTTCTTAACCCATCATATCAGCCCTTCGTTCTATTTTTAGAAAAAGAGCTATTTTTAGAAATGGAACATGATTGGTCAGATCGTCAGATCCTTTCGTGTTGAATCTACAAATGTAAATTATGCGTTTTATAAATTATCTATTCCAGGTTAAATATTACTGCTCGAGAGGTCAGAGAATTCAAAGGTCAGATTGTCGATCTAATTTCATGTCASATTACCTTCAGAAGCTGATTCTTCTTCGACACTTTCAAGTTTTCTTTGTTTTGAAGAAGATTCCTTTTCTTCTTCAAGAAGTTTCTTTTTAAAAGCGAATTTCGTAGCTTTAATTTTCTCGAACAGTATTTGACATTCAGTTTTTGGCGATGAAAAATAGCCGATATCAAATTCCGATAAACGAGTAGTGGTCGCGCGGGCTTGGTAACAAACTAAAAATAGCTCTTTTTCTAAAAATAGAACGAAGGGCTGATATGATGCATGGGTACCAGGGATTCCTTCTCTTACCTCATTTTCTCTTGATTCTGAACGAGCAGCTTCTAAACAATTTTTGTTTGTTTCTTTTTTCAACTTTAAAATGTACTCGTTCTTTTTTCTTTTAAAATCATTTTATGCAAAGTAAACTTTCATAATGCGAATGCAATCTGAATGCCAAATTTTCGCTGCAATGATAAAAATATTCAAAAAAATGATGTGAAAAGATCGTACGCAAAATCTATCAAATCGATCGCGACGCTGGTAAAAATATATATTATCGTAGCTTGGACACAGTATGTTCCAAGAAGTGGTTCTTGTTTCATTCTTGGAACAACAACAATATCCGTTTTGAAATCATTGCAATAACTGCAATATAATTTTAACTCTGAGTATGCAATGTTAACAATGTTCGAATAAAAGTTATTGCGTAGTAGAGTAGTATAGGAAGTCAATCACATTCGCAAAAATTTCAATAAATATTCGACATAGACAATTTCCGTTTTATAATCAAAATTAGAAAACATGGTACAATTTTTGTGTTTTATTATTGATCTGCTAATCCAGAATTTACTGACCTATTTTCATTTCATAAATAGAATCAAGCCGCCAATGGCAACACAACTCGAAGATTGATTGTGCAGACGAATACAGAAAGATATAATGATGAATCAAATTATAATTGAAGGCCTAGATTTGAAAACGACGTAAGTGACGATTTAGGGTATTTTCGAAATTTTCGAAAAATTAAAAAAACATCATTCCAATCGCTTATTTAAAGTCTAAATAACCTTATTTAGTACTTATTTCTCCTGATTTCTTTCCAAAAAGAGCAAAAAAGGACTCATA